TTATCACATGTTATTTTGATAATTACGTAACTCTGCTGTGTGAAGGTTGATATATATTTTTATTATTATATCAAATGGCAGGCGTTTCGATTGTTATCATTAGCTCTTTAGTTGACTTCAGTGTTCACAGAGGGGAAGGAACATCAAAGTGTAAAAAATTCAAGGGGGGGGGGACAGAAGAGTGTATCAAAGATGAAGGTAGATAAGGTGGAAAAAAGGTGGGATGAGTACTGTGAAAGTAGTCGAATATGACATACAGTGGGGTCATGGTAGTTTGAAGTCAACTGCCAGGTAAAAGAATTTTTTTGCCGTATGAGTATGCGTTGCCCAGGGTGCACCACGTGGAGGTAAGTCTCGCGAGCAGCATTTCAGTTAAAAAATTGCATCTATTAAAAACATCTAAAGTTCGAAATTTAGATATTTTTAATTCGAAGATTGTACTTTTTTAGAAAAGAATTCCAATTTGTAAAGAATATTGAGGGAACCTTAAAATCTTTCTGGAGGTCTGAGCTAATTAGTGTTTGAGTTTGAAAATATTACGTTTTTGAAGATCTTAATGATGAAGCAAATGACAGCTATGAGGTATTACATGAAGTTTAAACCATTAGAATATGCAATTATTGAAAAGAATGTTTATAATTCTTATTGAAATAATGTTTACATCGTTCACAAAGAAAGCTAGCTGAAGATTTTAGCCCCTCAGGCATCAAGGGTATTGGATGTAATTGACGTCATTTTGTTCAAAAAACCCTCTTGGGAATCGATTAGAATAAAGCCTAACAATTTCTATAGGGGACGCATTAAATAAATGTCAATTTTTCCTGAACAATGCATTGTCATACGCATTTTGTACTACGGTAATAGTCTATTTCACAAATCAAACTTCAGAAACTAGAGCATAGTTTGCGGAATTTTGTTAGTAGTGCTTTTCCATTTTCAAAGCGAACCTGAGTTCATTTTCCTTTTTTGCTTTTTCAAATGTTCGATATCTCTTGTCCAAATTTACTAATTTGTCAATTTATAATAATTTTTACCTTATGCAATAAAAAAGTTCAAATGAACGTGTCAGAACTGTCAATTTCCTTGATAACAAACACCCCAACAATGGCTGCATGAGATTTTGCACATGGTTCTTTGGTTCCTTAATTATTTTAATGGCGTAGGCAATAGCTAGCTTATAGTTATGGTCTACGATAGCATAGAATGTTTTATTACCAAGGTTGTTATTAGATCTGGCCAACGCCAGGGTGGATAGCGTGTTTCAAATCTTTGTACAAAAATAATTACTGTTAGTGACCTCATGACCTAGAAATTAATGCATGAATGGACTAGCTAAGCAATGTCCATGTGCATACGTCATATTATACCGCAATTTTCAGGTTTAAGTAAGTATTATCTTAACTGTTTCATTTGAAATTAATAGAATATGATTTTGCACCACCATATACCGTAAAATTGTATACTACGAATTTAAAATAGCTTTTACATAAATTAATTATTATAAAGACTCATTTAATAATGTTATAGATTTATTGATGCATTTTTCGCAAGAAGATATAAAAGTAGTTGGCAGTACCTTCCCCAATGTTTTGAATATGGACCACTCAAATAGCTTAAAAAAAGTTAGTGAAGTTCCTTGAATTTATTAATTTAAGCTTAAGATAAGGTAATTGGGCAAGAAATCAGTATTGTTTGCGTAGTTTTGTCTCTTAATTTCTCTCACAAAAAATTCCATCGAATTTCGGAATTTTATGAGGCTCTCTTTTCAATAGGCACACCCAGATCTGTTCATTTATTTTTATTTAATTCTTTAATGAAATTCTATTCGAAGAGCAGCTATCATTTTCTCATTCGGTGTCCCACTATCTAAATTTACCATTTCGACTTGCCTTTCTCTAAAATTTCCGTAAGTGGTTACTAACACTCCTACCCTATTGAACAATGGTTTTTAAGCCTTACTTTTAAATGGGGAATTTAAATTTCAGGCTAAGAAAAGTGAACTCTTAATGTTTTGTGATAAAATTATACTAAACTTGACAGATATAATTGATAAAATAAGAAACTTACATCCTGATTTTGCTCACACTTCTGCAAAAGATGAACGAGAGTAAAAAATATCGAGAAAGGAAGTGGAGGTAGGTCGTGCCACAGCAGAATAGAAATTCACAATGCATTGTCCCTAATTTACTATCTTATAAAAAGGTGGTCTAAGTAAGTCTTAATTAAAGACTAACTTGCAGTTGAAGCAATCAATGTGAAAGGGCATAAAATCTAAAATGAACCAGGTTGAAGTAGAGTACAAAGGATGATGGGAAGCGACGATATTGGCATGATAGCCACAATCCTCTGTCTCAACAGGAGAATAAAGTTGAGAAAATCTCTGCCTATTTCGGGTGCGAACGGACGTGCTTCCAGTTGGGCATGCGAGGTTGCGAATTTATTGCTAATTACTCAGTAACAGTGGGTTTGATGACTTACAGACTAATTGAATTATCACAAGCGCATACCTGCTTAAGTGTTATGACAAATCAAACATAAAGTTCTCTCAGTGGTACTTTCTGGGACTAATCCGAAAAAACAAATCAACTTATCCTATAATTCTTTATGCTTAGGTCAACGGCGTCGAATGGCAAACTTCCATTAGAATGCCAGATTCCAATTCTCGATCATATTCCCCCGACGGAAGCAGTGACTCAGTCAGTATTTCGAACAGAGAGGAAATTGGTGTATCTGAAGAATGCTACGCCTTCACTGGTCTCCAGTTATCTGATGTCACTAATGCTCCTTCATTGTGGGAGGCCCTCGAAACAGTATGCAATTGAAATTTGAGTTTATTTCAATAAAACTTGGTTTAAAGTACTAATATCTCCTATTTTATCAAAAGTTTGATAACTGGTTGATAACTCAAGGACTGTTCTACACAACAAATGGTACCAAAGAGAGTAACTTTGAGTTGGCTGTTGATGGCGGAACAGGTTTAAGGCTCGTATTGCATCAATCACTTGATTATCCCATTGAAAAGACCTTCAGAAGGTTTCCCTACCTCTGTCAATTTATTGACATTAAGAAGGCCTTCATGTTACTATATTGGAGGATCGATTGCCCCTTCACAATGATCGACATGCTACATAGTAGGTTACTTTCATCTTAGTGCCCCATTTTTATGTTCAGGTTTGAATTTGCAGATCCCAGATTATCCACCAAATTTCTCTCCTGAGGCTGCGACTTGGGTTACGTCGAGTGCCAACCAAATGGTGAAAAGTGACGCTATGCCTGCTAGTTGCGATACCTTTGGCCATAAAACAATTTCAGAGTACCCACAGTTTGGCTATTGGCCACTAATGTATTGTCGAACAATGGCAAATCTTTGTGGAAGGATGACTTCTGATGGTATACCTTTTGTAGCTTTAGTATAATTCTTTAACTTACAATTGACGAAATTTTTCTTTTAGGAGCACAGTGGAAATCATTTGAGAAAATTAATCCATTTTGCCAACCTAAATTTGTGTACGTACCCGTTTTTGCATATTTCAAGCTGTCTATCTAACTTCTTTGGGAGGTTCTAGTTGCTAAAAGTGGCCTTTTAAAAGTATTTAGTCAATGCATAAAAATGAATATACTATTTCGTGGTTTTGATGTAAGATAATGACTGGAAGGGTAAATATGAGACAATAACTACCGATTTCTTCAGGTCAAGGAGACTTTCTTGTTGAAAAACACAAAAAGAAACTGAAAATGTGTTGTATTAATAATGACGGCTGATAAGTTATTTAATCATGGAAGTGATAAAAACTGAACAATAATAAGGTAGAAGCATTATCGATTGTCGGAAATTTTTATTTGCCGTTGAATTGTTTATATCTTGAAGACACAAGAAAAACCTGGAGGGGTGAATACTTCGACTGATAAATCAAGGCAACTTAAAGAAGAACTAGCATAACTTAATAAGCAAGAGAGATAATGAGAGCATTCACAAAGTCATGGATAATCTAGAACAGTTGAGATACTGAGGAAATTTCTGACCAGCCTGTCGTGTCCAAATCGGTCAAAATTATTGCCTCCTCAAGTAGTAGACTGTTAGTCAAGTATGAAGAAAGTTAAGCTTTCTTCGTGTTCGACGCAAATATAGGTGAAATTATTGATAGTGATTAAAGTATCATACCAAGGCATACCCAGTTAGAGGAAGGCAAGTCGCATTTGATAAGTCTGAAGAGTAAAGGAGGTGGGAAATTCATTTTCCTCACCTTGGGCTGGATTCATGATTCCAACCATCTACACAAAATGAGCGCTATAGAGTGTCTTCTTCAATAATTCTGACCATTAAAATAAGAAAATGATCTTATGTATTTATATATTTTTTGCGTATGAACAGCCGAAGTAGCGACAATGTCCCCGACGATGTTGTAGTTCGAGCTCGCGGTTTACCCTGGCAAGCAACCAACATTGAAGTAAAGCATTTTTTTCGTGGTCTCAACATTGCTCCAGGAGGAATAGCTCTAGTTCTGAGTAAGGCGGGTCGACGAAATGGCGAAGCAGTCATCCGCTTCACTACTCGAGAACAGCGTGATCTAGCGCTGAAGAAGCACAAACATCACATGAACCAACGCTACATCGAAATTTACGCTGCGAATTCAGTTGAATTCATTGCAGTGGCTGGAGGTAAACTTGATTTCTATTATTCTCCTCGTGTTTTTCATAAACATTTTAAAAAATATTTACCTTAGCCTGAAAGTGCTGTCAATCTGCGCAAGCAAATATTAAAAGTGTAAGAGAAACAAATAAATGATTTTGTCTATAAGTTTAGAAAATCGCTTTAAATTAATGAATGAATTGATTGAATATTATTTATTTGATATCGTTAAAATTGAAAAATTTTGAATCAAGATAAGGCAATGAAGGAAGCAAATTCGTATTTATGTAGAAAATGTCATGAGCATAGGAAAAGGCTGAGCTCAGAACCAGTCAGCGATTGTCCTTGGAAGTGGACTGAAGAATAGTAATGCAAGCTAGTATCATCTTGTCAAGCCTGTTCTGACTACTAACTCCGTTAATATAAACATTGTCAATAATGGCATCAATACACAATCCTTTAAACTTTTCTAATTTTGAAGTCAGAAACGGTTGAACTAGATGAAATTTGAAAAAATTAACTTTTCGTCCTTAAAACCATCTACCTTTGGCTACTTTCATCTTCGTGCTCTACAAAGCTGAACTTCAATCGATAACTAAAATACTTAAAGAAATTAAATTTTGATGGTAAATGGACTCCAGCTATCTGTGAGTCGCAAAATACCCTATTTACCTTTCTTAAGCCAATTTATACGTTGTATATAACAAGTGGTGTAACCCCAGTTCAACTAGTTCTTTTAAAGTGACCTTTAGAACGGATGCACCTAGTTCAGGTGAATAAAGGTATTCGAGTCCATAAAGCCTTAGTGATAAAAGTGAAAATGAGGAAATTTTTCATAAATATCGCTTTAGGACTAAATCAGAGCTCTAAATATTTACTAAATTGAGAAATAGCAATTATAAAAGCTCGTATGAATTTTGGAGGAATGGATATAGTACTTATTCGGACTTGGTAGACAGCATTATATATATAATGTTAAGTACTGCTTGTTACTAACTGAGGATACCGTTAAATTTTAAGTTATTGCATTATCATAGAGTAGTCGACTTTTATTAATGCAAATGAAATGGATTGGGTTGATACCTGCGATGCACCTTTTAGGTGAGACTCAAGAGGCGGAGGCTTATTTGAGCAAATTTACTTCGTCATCTCAATCGCTTATCCGAATGAGAGGACTGCCTTACACCGTTTCGGCGGAAGAGATCGTAAGTTCAAATACACACACATGATCTCTACTATACCTTGCATTCTATCTAACTTTTCCTCTACGCCTGAAACATTCTTTTGAAAATGTTACATGACGTTGCATTGTGTGAGATAAACAATGGAAAATTGATTCAAACATGTTACTTGTGCGTTTTTTAAGTAAATTGGGGGGAAAATTTTGCCATTTGGTAGTGGTATTCAGTCCCCATCCATCAAGGTAGCATAAAATACGCTGTTTTTTACAAACAAGCTAATCTATGTTAGCTATGGAGACACAATCTCCTAAATAATCACAATGAAATATTTTTCATTGATCAGATTTTATCAAATTATTGTGATTGTCTTAAGAGTCACTTTGAAAATTTTAAATCTATTACAAAGGAACAAAGTGACAGGTAAATATTACTGTTTAATTAGAATAAATGTTAGATTGGTAAGAGGTGCCTTTTCGAAGGGGTATGTAATATGCTGAAGAGGTTAAAAAGATTCAGCTAGATGTGATTAGAGGTTATTTTCAATCACCGATTATTTACAATTTTCTATCCAAGGCATAACGTCGAAGGTATTTGGGAGAAGACTCTCAAGGGTATGTTCTGGTAAAGGTTTTCATTTGTTTTTCTTTGCTTCTACGAGCATAGGGAAATAGTCATTGGAGTGCAAAGTAACAAGTCAATTCCATATTCTTGCCAATGCATCTTAAAGTAGGATGAAAAATAGAATTTGATTATTACTTATCAATTATATACTATACCAATAAATTCATGCGTATCTGGTTACTGGTACGATTTCTGAACTCTCCTGGGAACGGAATTTTGATTAGATAACGTTTCATTTTCTACATAACTTGGTCTTTTTATTACTTCTTTTCCTCTTTAAAGATCGAATTTTTCGCCAAAACGGGCTGTCAGGTACAGTTTGATAGGGCGGGAATCTTGTTTGTCAACCGAAAAGATGGTCGGGCTACTGGAGATGCCTTCGTCATGTTCGCTACTGACGCAAAGGCAGAAAAAGCTCTTCAAAACCATCGCCAACATATTGGAAATCGATACATTGAATTATTTAGATCCACGCCAGCGGAAGTTAATCAGGTAACCTTAATTGTGGACTTGATTCTGCACATGACTGTCCGTTACTATTTGGTTTCCATAATTAAGTTATTGTATCGCTGAGGAGCTCATAAGGCGGTACAATACGCCTAAATCGAAATAGTTTGAAGTAGATTAACACAATTTGACCCTGAAATTTTAAATCTCAATCCCTTAAAATCTATGCTTGGAATGCCTTGAGAGGCTACTTGCAATTCCTCCCACTCTGCCTTTGACCAGCGAATCAGGAGCTGAAACTTTCCTTGATGTGACGGCGAACTACGTCAATTTGATAACATCATAGGGCTTAATATAAATTGCCTATTGGTCACCACTCAAGTCAATCAAGGCAGAAGTTTACATTAATTGGTGCGGAAGGGAAAGCTCATTGGATAATTTGTTACTTATTAGAAAATATTTTAAAGCAAATCTCCAAACAAATCGACTTTAGAATGCCTATTCTTCTCCAGCTAACCTTGGAAGAGAAAATGACCTTAAAATTTCTTCTTTTCCAGTTGTTGGCTCATACTAACCATCGCACTACTTAGCTTTGCCCTAGGCGTTCTTTATTCACTCATCCCACAATCATGTCACCTTTTGACAATTCTCGGGTTTGTGGTCTTGGAAAGGGGAGCTCGTTATTGTTTTGACAATAATTTCATGCCAAATTAGCAGCCATTAGTATTGCCCTGCTCATAGAAGATGGCTAGGCCATTATGACGTGTTTACGCAAGACACTCAAGCGCTTTACCAATTGACCAACTGTTAGGAGCATGACGAAGGCGTGCATGATGTGGAAGGGGGGGGGGAGAGGAAGCTCTATACGCGGTAAACCAATGGGTGAATGGAACTCAGATTCATGCAACGCAAGTTCCGACACGCGTGGACGATCGGGTGCTCACACAACTACCACATACCCCAGTCTGATTCATTCGTTCGTGACCTGCTAATTAGAGCGAAATAGAGAAAAAGGTGAATTTAAGCTACTGACCGTATTACACCAGAGGCACTGGAAGTCGCCTAAGCTAGTATCCTCGGCAACATGCAGAATAAAATCAGCATATAACAAACGAATGGAAGCCTGGAGATGACCCTTTCGACGGAAGTAGTTATTGCTTTATAACAGCTGTACTTTGCAACCATTGAGCACTTTTTATACTTATTGGTAAACGTTGGAATATTTCTTACTCCGCTAAGCCCATATAGCCTTCGGTATTGCCACCAAGGTTTTCCTTAACGAATTTCTGCTTGTACCACTCACTCAATTCACTGAAGCCATATAGATCGATCAATAGTTAGTAAAACGTACATAAAGAGAAGAGGTGATCAATTAGTGCATAAAATCGGAATTGGAGAGCGGGCATCCAGATATGCACCGCAATTATACACTCATTAAGCACTGGCTACTTAGTGTCATACCTGCATCAGTCAGTGGGATAGAGCGGTAGTAGAGCCCTTACAATAGTAACCTTTCGATTTGTCAAATTTGGGAATATTTTTGATCCTGGATGATTGAAATATTTCATTTTTTATATCAAATGGCAGGCGTCTTGATGGTTATCACTAGCCTTTTAGTTGACTTCAGGCTTCACAGTGAGGAAGGTACATCAAATTGGAAAAAAGTCGAGAGGGGGGGGGTATAAAAGAGTGTTTCAAAGATGTAAAAGAGACAGACACAAAGGTAGGAAAAAAAAGGTGATTTGAGTACTATGGAAGTAGTCGATTAAGACACAGTGAGGTGATGGTAGTTTGAAGTGAGAAATCAACTGCCAGTTAATAGACTTTTTTACCGTGTGAGTATACGTTACCCAGGGTACATCACATGGAGGTAAGTCTATCGCACACCCCTGATTGAAATATTGTTCATTTAATAAAATGAAAATCTGATATTAACGATTATTACAAGTCAAATCTGATAGGTATTTCTGACTCAAATGCCACTGCGGCGTTTGATTCCTATTCAGTAGAATTAAATTGCCCCAGGGTGTGCGGTTTCCAACCCTCCCCCCTGGTTAGTGCGCTTATCTAACACTGGCCATTAGGGGAGTTGTTAGGTGATGCCAAGTAGAAGATAACATGGGCTGCACTGGCGAGCTAATCATCTTGTACCACCCCTATTGTTGACCAGAATTAACAACTTCCTAAGTGACCCATGCATTGCTCTGATTTGGCAGACGATTACGTTGACAACTGTTTCAACAGCTCATTTATAACAATATATTCCTTAACGTAAAAAGGTAGGAGAAAGTTGCAGTTAGTAAACGAGGGCACTGCCTTCGACTCTAGTAACCTCAGAATCATTTTTGGACATTTAATATTCGTATTATTCGGTTTGATTTCCTTTCATTTCACATATACTGTTTTTTAAAACTTATTAACTTAAATGACTTCGAGCTGAATGCATTACAATTGGAAATATGAAATTTGCTTTGTAAACATACTTCTGAGTATTTTTCAAGCATTGTAAACTTTCTTCCGATACTTCAACACTCGAAACTGCTCAAAGAAACTATGAGAAAGAGCTGCAATTGAAAATGTTGTCGTTAAGCTTCCAACTCTTGACAATCAGTGCCAATTTTCCTTTGCCTTAATAAGATAGTAATTTAGAATCCAATCGAATGTCTCAATCGAGAAGTTAGAATGTCATAGAGTCCACCTGTGTGATGCGGTTTGGCGCTACTAAGAAAGCCCTATTCTGCTTCCTTGAGTCAATTTTGACGTTCTCTTGAATGTGTGCTATGAGTTAGAATATTGAACTTTAAATGATGATAGGTTAGGCTTAATCTGAATTTCTCATCCCTTGATAATAATTTTAAATTAAATAACCTAATAAAGTGTAATTTAGATTATCCCAACCTATCTGAGTATTGCATTTTATTAGAGTGAATTTCTATATTACAAGAATGAATTTTGGAAAATTCTATCATCCGGTGAATTATTCCTTTCATTCCACAGGTTATGAATGCTGTACTAAAGCAGTCAATCGACATTCTACCATCACTCTGGCCAACGAATTTTGATGCTGATAAATACCTTTCACATTCCGGTCCACTGTTAAACCTTCAAAATCCAACTATGTTCTCCAACTCTTCTAAAGGTGGCCTGCTTATTCCCAACCCGAATTTCACCCTGCCGATTATGAATGTGCCACCCATGACTTTGGCGGTAACTAACACTTTGAGCAACCCCCTTCGTGGATCCCCACCGAACCCACCCTTACTCTCAAGTGGACATTTGTTGCGCATAAAGGGCATGCCACCAGGAACCACTGTGAATGATATTCTCCACTTCCTTGGATCTTATTGGCCGGCTGTGGCATTGCATGGCATTCACTTAATCTACACTGCTACGGTATGGGAGTGCTATTTACAGCATAAACCGAATATATCTCATTACCTTGTTGCATTTTATCTTTAATTTTGTACATATTATGTTTAAATTTTAAAATAGCTGCAGTTAAGGCGATTAATGGCGTTTGGATACGTAAATATAATTGTAAATGATTTGGGCAAATGCATATGTGGAAATTAATTCCATTTTAATAATTGGCGGTTAGAGATAAACTCATAAATTACGGTTTTGCAAACGCAGGATGGTAAGTTGGTAAATTACAAACCTTCTTCGGAATCTTAACTGCTCATACAGGAATAAAATCTCATCTCGATGGCATGAAGGTGGTATTTATCGACAATATCATGAAAAGATTATCAAGAGAGCATCCTTAAGCTGAAACTGTTTTATTTGCAAGTTTTAAGTGATTTAAAACATCCGGAAAAATCATAAATGATCATAAAACGGAGGAAAAGAGGTAGTTACCAAGACCGCTTATTGCTTAGAGTCGGATTGTAAGAGTGACAATCGGAAACAGAGAAGTAAGTAAGAAGAAATTTAGAATCACAAATCAAGTTGCCAACTCACTTTGGTCTTATTCGATTTCCGCCACAAATAACTAAATGAGAGTACACCTTATGATTGTGTTCACCTACGTCATATTTGTTCTATTAATCTATGTCTACTTTGGTGGCACTTCGTATTTGCAAAAACTGCGTTCCTTCTCTCATCCTAACATTCAACCGTTTAAATCATCCACTGCACATTCCAATCAAAGTAGATGCACGGCTGAATTGGGCAACTTTCACTTTTTAAGGCAAAAATAGTACCCATTGGCCAACTCGAATCCAGGTCTGTTTCACCTTATGCCACTTATGTATAAACAGTTAACAATTAAAGTGCCATCAAGCGGGTAGCTGCATCACCGCACTTTTTTTCTGTTTCGTTTTTAGCCATTCATGGCTGCTTTTCATGCCGTATCTTGTCTTTACTCACTATTCCAATTAGCGAATATGTTCTAGACCACTTTTTTGTCAAAAATGTGCATCAAAGGTATAATTTACCCAGAAGGTTGAAGGGCAAGCTGCTTAGCAGAATTGAATGCGAAATTATAATATTTTATTCTTTGAGCCTCATTGTCAGAATGACCTTCATGTGTAATAAAAATGTGACTTTCCCAATGGGTGCTGGCCTTCAAGAGTGAGGATTTACATTCGAGGGCATTTAATTGAATTCCTTTTACGCTACTAGCTTGAAATACTTCCAGAGCAGGTGCAGCTAGTATAATCTAGTCAACACTTATCAGCCCATTTATTTACAATTATTTGTTTTAATCACTCTAGGTGTTCGCTAAAAACGCAACGAGACATGACGGCTTGCACGCGATTGATTTCCCTTTCCAATAAGTGCCGCGTTTGTCCATCTATAAAACTATGCGGCATATAAAATGTCATCTTTAGTATCTTGAGAGAGAGGCTGTAATTCACACAATGGGAAACGCATTGGCTAATCAAATGTGAAACTTAAGGCTAATTTTGATATCTTACTAACACAATGTTACATTAGTATGCGTTCTGTTATTTAGGGAGAAGCGTCCGGTGAAGCCTTTGTACGTTTCATCTCCCAGCAGGTAGTTCAAATGGTTCTGGCGGAGAGGCAAGGTCAGCCGATAACAAATGCAGCAACAGGTGTCCAGGCAAATGTTCAACTCTCTCCGGCAACTCTAGCAGATTTGGTGGACTTCATCAGCATTCCTGGATCGCAGTCGAGCATCAATTGGAGTAACGTCGGAACGGCCAATGCCGCCGCCGCCGTGGCTGCCTTTGGCGCCCAATTGAATCCGTATCCACACCTCTTTGCTGCTGCCGGCTCGGGTGCTGCCTCATCGCTTCATACCCATCTGTTCATGCAGCTGCGTGCAGTGGCGCCTTTTGTCACCAACGCTACACCTTCATCGGTGTTACCTACACCAGCGGAGGGTCTTACATTCACAGCCGCTCAATCACCACCTTCAGTAAAATCGGATGCGGATATTCTCTGTCAGGCCACCATTCGCACTGGTAACTTCATGTGACTATTACAATTACAAAATCTGTTTACTTACAAAAACATATGAAAACTGACAACTTTTAAACTTAACGTAGGCTGGAACTTGTACTACAAGATGAGCTCACATGCAGCGCGGTATGCGACGTATTCGTCTGGGTTCTTCGAGGTTTACTGATTAGTTCCTCGGTGTCTGATAAGTGTGTGAGATGGCCCACCACACTTGTCAAGTCTGACTAATAAGGAATGGAGGAATTCTAATTTCTCATTAAGAGTGGGTCCGAAATATCACCAGGTTGTCTTTGACAGGTTTTAAAATACACTCTGCTAAATGGTTTCAGTGCCCAATAAATAGAATTTGGATGTAGATTTACGCTAGCATACCGAATCATCCATTTGATCATTGCTAAAATTTTTCAACCCCTAGGCTATTGTCCCTTTATTATTCATCTTATTTTAATTATAAAAAAGGTTTTTCTTAACTCACTTTTTGAATGAACCATGAAGAACCATCTCGAGCAATGTGATCAACACTTTGAGCTGAGGAGCTGATAAGTTGCACACCTATTGAGCTCTCATTGTCACTATCCATTCATATGAAACTCGTGGTCAAGACGTTAAGTTTATGCAAATCAATATAGTTGCCTACGTGGGAAATCAGTGTTATCGAAATGTGTTTCAAATGGCAGGCGTTATGATAGGTATCATCAGCCCTTTAGTTCACTTCGGGCTTCACAGAAAGGAAGATGAACATCAAAGTGGCAAAATGTTGAGAGGGGACAGAATAATGATTCACAGACGTAAGAGACAGACAGACACAAAGGTAGAAAAAGGTGAGGTGAGTACTGTGTATTATTTGAATATGAAATGCAGCAGGGTCTTGGTAGTCTGAAGTCAGGAGTCAACTGCCGAATAATAGACTTTTTTGCGTATGAGTATACGTTGCCCAGGGTGCACCACGTGGAGGTAAGTCTATCACACACCCCGTGTTCTCGAAATCGATGTCAATCAGTATACACGCTGGTTGGGTTTGGCTGATAATGAGAATGATAAAGTACGGTTTCTCGAGCTGAATGTTGAAGTACGCATTTCAAGATGGGCTTGATCCATATATTCTATAATCGACTAAAGTGAATGTGTTATCCATTTCAAAGTATCACGAGAGATTTGGGCTAACCTCACTTTAAAAATGCCATTAAGATATAAACTATTTCGGATTTGTGAACCGGGCAAGACTAGTTCTTTTCAGGAAACATTAATAGCTGTTTATCGAATGGTTTCGAGTTAATTTTGATAAATTCTATGCTGATATATGGTTTTATTTGTAGGATCATCAACGTAATGCCAATGACACATCAACATGCAAATTGAGAACTGTGATCATTCAATTTATTCAACTATTTGCCATCTTATAATCAATTCCGAGCACTTCATCTTCTTCTCAAGTAAAATCACCTATGATCTTTCCTTTTTGTTTTTTTCAATAAAATTAATAGGAAAATCCAAATTTGCAATTTTCTCAGCATGTAATAATAAATTAGTTAAGTAGGTGAAATGATTAAATATTTTTCAAATTGTGATTATTATCAAAATAGAGAAATAATAAGCCAAGTAATAGGTAGACCATTACAGCTTACAAATTGCCTCTTCATCATTGTTGACGTCATTGACTTAAAATCAAAAAATCAATTTCCTAAGGATTGCTTAACACAAAGGCACGTGGAAGCCTTAGGAGACATCATACTTGATGCTTATAAGACAACGGAAAACATTAGCTTTGGGCCGTCGCCCTTATTCCCTCGTGACAAGCATTCCTTCGCTAGACCTCAAGATCACCCTTCTTTATTGTCTATATCGTGGATGTACGTTGTAAGTCGAGATAAGATTATCTTCAGTGTTGGGGTGTTTTATCCTTCAAAAGTTAATTAATTAATTAATTGATGTACTGTTCAATGACCATCATTTCCTTAATTAATAAGCTGATCTTGAGTAGGTGAGTACTCACTTTCGATTTCCCTCCTTGTTACGTTGCTTAACAATACCCAATTGGTTCCAGTATCACAGGGCTAGGAGTACGGCCAATTGAACATTTCAAAATTTCTGTTCACTGAGTCTATCATATGAACTATCTTGCTACATGAGTAAGGAAGATGTGGGAGTGTAAAGAGGATCATTAGTTGTTCTACTGTCAAGATGTGTGTTTGGTTAAAATAGTATTTATTTATCTATATCAAAGGGCAGGCGTTTTGATAGTTATCATTAGCCCTTTAGTTGACTTCAGGCTTCATAGAGGAGAGGAACATCAAACTGAAAAAAAGTCGAGAGTGGGGGGGGAGGAACAGAAGAGTGTTTCAAAGGTGTAGAAGAGATAGGCACAAAGGTAGAGGAAAAAGTTAAAATGAATACTGTGAAAGTGGCCAAAATATGACATACAGTGGGGTCATGGTAGTTTGAAGTTAGAAGTCAACTGTCGGTTAATAGAATCTTTTGCCTTACGAGTATACGTTGCCCAGGGTGCACCACGAAGAGGTAAGTCTATCGTACACCCCTGGTTAAAATAGTAAATTCATCGAGTCGTAATAGTTTAACTTTCTAAAATTCAAACTTGCGATCGTTAGTTGGAGGGGTGGTTTGACATTTTAGTGTAGACTTATCATGCCTTATACGTTGACTCTACTCGAGCATCTTTGTGGCGCGAACTGTAGTGCTTAATCATATCATAATTCGGAATTCCACCTAAATAGCATTCAATTACAAACAAAGATTTATCTGGGAATGAGCCATCCACATCACGCAAGAGGCGAATTCTACATTTTATGATAAAAAAATGGCAAATAAATAATTCGTGAATTCAAATTACTTTAGATTCACGTCAACTTGACTCAAAGGTTCGTCCATTACCAAGCACGTTCTTATTTTCAGGATTAATTCTATGTGAAAGGAATCGGGTTAATTTCCCTTTGTAATATTGTTGAATCAGGAAAAAGGAGGCCGGTGGACACGTTAGTTATGAACTGCGCCAGTAAATATAAGAAGAGACTGGACTGTCGTATGAACTTGTGCGTGTGCAAATTACTAGAAAGCCTTCAGACCACACCTGTACGACGCATTCGAGGCGCGTATACGCAATCGGAGCAGGAATGAGAGCAGTGGAGGGGGAGGGGGGCTCCGCAGTGCGAACGGGTCAAAAAAACTGGCGACCCGTCTCAAGCATTTAATTGGGTTCCTCTCTTTCGGATTTTCGAATGAAACCTCAATGACTAGAGTTGCAAATTAAAAGGATATTCTGGTATATGCTGGAGTTTGCAGAATATGTAGCATTTCTAGATGGTATCTCTCATTACGCTATTTAGAAAAGACGCAATGAATGGTGGATTTATGATAAATAACCATTAAAAACACTCAATAAATCAATTTTCATAAGAGGAGGTTTGGTAAATGTGTTCACTTAGTCAAGTCTTGTTCTCCAAGGAGAGAAATTCGAATTAAATCCACCTGGTAGTATCACGTCTTTGTGGATATCTTCGATAGTGTTAATGGCTTCAGTGGGAGATCGGTCATCTTTAAGCCAACCATTCGAATGAGGAGTTGATTCAAAATTTCTCGACTGATTTATCTGCAAACCGGGGTGGTAGGGATCTTGAGTTTCGTTAAGGAGATTTGATAGAAAACTAATATATCTAAAATGAAGAAAAACCTTTTTGTCACATAGTTAAAATGGCCAAATAAAATCTGGTTTCATTCGATTTTATTAAGTATTTACTTGTCCAATTTGCACTTTGCTTTCTGGCTAAATATTCTCAATCTGAGGATAGTTTTGGGGAAAAATTCGTGAATATATGAACGGGCTCGCTTAGGAAAAGTTGAGTTTCACTATTAGTGTATAAAGAATGCTCACCTTTCTTTTAGATTAAAAATTAAGTAAATGCCATTTCCTTCATTTTCATCCATACTTTAAACCTTCCTTGTCTTTGGACTTACTATTTTAATTCTGAATACTTTAAGTTGTTTGGCGTTTACTCCAACTGCCTGAAGCCCCTTGTGTTCCGCGCTGCATCACCTGCGATATCCGGTTCCAAAGTCTGGAGGCCTTGCAAGCAGGTATCTGAGCATGCTTCATCTTTCACTGTCAGAATAACTTACTCAACTATTCATCTACTGTACTATTGATATATATATATATATATATATATGGAACTTTGCAGAGATAAGACTGGACCGAATCAAAAGAAATTAAAATCACCACTTTAAAGGAATTTAACAAACATGTAAATAGATCGTTACAGCTGGAGATATATCTTGTGGGATTTAAGACTTACTGAGTAGCTAGACGAAGAGTCTGAATTTTGCTCAGTTTGTCTGAGGGAAGAGTGGGAATAATATGTCGGAGATCGGCGAAGGCCCTATTCAGCGATTGAGTTCGTTGGCGTTCCCGAATATTCGCGAGAAATCTCTGAGTCACGGTTTCGTCATGTTTCACCCTCATTTTCGATGACTTGGATGTTCGATTTGAAATGGTACCTTCATTTGATATCCTACCTAAGTTGTAGATATTTATTCATTTTTATTCCTTTTTACACACAGACACCATAATAAGTTTAAAATCTTCAATAAGTATATAGATATTGTTAAAATAGTATGAAAGATTTAAACCTTACGATCCTTTAGTTCTAAGAACAAATATTCATTGTTGTTTAATCCAATACATTTTAACTTTTCCTTACTTTAATGAAATTACCTTCTGAATGTCCAATGGGAAACAGGTATGAAATATAACGTTCCTCAGGTTTCTTGTAAATTTGGGGTAAATATCTTGGAGCCTCATCACTTCTAGCCCAGTCCTCGTCAGTACTGTCCGGTAATGTGCTTCGGAGATAATCGTAATACATCGGTGCAATTTTTCGAATGTCTACCACTGTCCATGATGGAAGCCTACACCACAATTGTCGCGTTCTGATTGGCTAATTTTGCAGAAGTGCGAAAAACAGAGCAATTCATATCGCAGCTAAAATACCAATTCTTGTTGAAAATGATCCGGTACGATTTACATTTACGTGTTAAATATAAACCGTGATTTTTTCGAAACTCAAGCAGAGTACTTTTTGCCAGCAACAAATAGATTAGATCATTTTTTGAAATATTCGAGTGTCACTGGTAATTAGGCGTTCACTAAAGATAGTGGTTGGAGATGGAGAAGGTTGCTTGCTTACTCTACCCAGAGATATGGCCTTGCGAAATATCCTTGGTATATGTGTTTATATAATTTTAAAGTGAAAACTTGAAGCTAAGCTGCTTTTTTAAATAGAGGAGAGGAAATTGAAAATTTGTCAACTCGGCATTATCTTTTTTGTTTCTTATTCATTTAAAGGGAATCTGCATTGCACTTGCAGACTTCGATTCGTTACTTCTAGTTGTATGTGTATAGCATTTACAAGTTTCATTTAACTTGATGCCAAAGTGCCAAGGAGTGCTTAGTTATTGCAATTCATATAGTGCAGAGACTAGCCAAGTGAAAGTAAAAGAGCTCTCCAGTTGCGGGTTTTCAGCCCATTTTATTATTATCCCACACAGTAATGCGAAGAAATTGCCATTTGTAATTGTTGGAAACACTTGAAAGCAGTTGATAAAAATGCGAATAAATGACAAGGGGGTGGATCGAAGAGCAGCTGAGAACACCAACACGGCATCAAAGGGTTTTTCTCCATTTTGATTTTGGATTCGGGTTGAAAGGTATTTAGTAAATGGGCAACTCACTTTCCGAAATTCAAATTTTGTGTTTCGTACTCTCTGAATTGCAGCAATACCCAGTGTTTATTGCCATCCTATTATCAAAATAGGGTTGGGCATGAAGTTTATATCCACTCTCACACACCCCCCCCCCGGGAATGAGTCAGACATATGTTTCAAGTTAATAGAGCTATTAAATCTGCATCCTCTCAAGATAACCCCCCTCCCCTTTAAGACAATGAAACTTTAACCCTGAAATAGCTTACGTTTCTGTCACCATGTTTTTTTCAAGAGAAGGAGCATATGAAATTTGGTAATTGGTCAAATTATTTAGGCACTTCTATGGATTGCAGAGATTTAATTGCTTTAATGTGGGGTGTGCGATAGACTAACCTCCACGTGGTGCACCCTGGGCAACGTATATTCATACGGCAAAAAAGTCTAATAACTGGCAATTGACTTCCCACTTCAAACTACCACCGCCTCACTCTATGCCATATTCGACTATTTCCACAGTACTCACCTCACCTTTTTCTGCCTTTGTGTTTGTCTCTTACATCTTTGAAACACTCTTCTGCCCCCTCTCGACTTTTTTCAATTTGATGTTCCTCTCCCTCTGTGAAGCCTGAAGTCAACTAAAGGGCTAATGATAACCATCAAGATGCCTGCCATTTGATATAAATAAATAAATAAATTGCTTTA